GTTGCACCTCTAAGTTATTTTGTTGAATTCTTGATATGGCCGGCATATATTTAGTTTTCTGGATGTTAATCAGAAGTCCGATATTTTCTGCGGCATTTTTGATACGTGTGAAGGCCTCCACTGCTTCATTTTGAGTTCTTCCAATTATAACGATATCATCAGCGTATGCCATTATTTGTATACTACGGGTATATATCGTACCTTTTAAGTTTATTCCCGAATCTCTCATAACTTTTTCTAACGCTAGGTTGAACAGCGTGCACGATAACGCATCTTCCTGGCGTAGTTCTCTGTTGGTTTTAAATGGTTTTGAAACATCCCCTTGTACGCGCACTTTACATTCGACTTTCATCATTGTCATTTTAATTAATTCTACCAAACCTTTTGGTACTCCTAATTCGATCATCGCCGAATATAATTGGAACCTGTCAATAGTATCGTACGCTGCTTTAAAGTCTACGAAGATGTAATGGCAGTCTATGTCGTACTCCGTCGTTTTTTCTAATATTTGTCTGATAGATGATATGTGATCAATGGTAGGTTTGTTTTTCAAGAAGCCTCTTTGATAGGATCCTATTATATTGTCAGTATACCGTGCCAGTCGTTCGTTAAGTATCAGGGACACAATTTTGTATGCTGTATTAAGAAGGGAAATCCCTCTAAAGTTGGAACATTCAATAACGTTTCCTTTTTTGTGTATGGGGCATATAATTCCAGTATTCCAATCTTCTGGTAACGCGCGTTCTTGCCATACCTGTATTAGTAGTTTGTGAAGGAGGGTTACAAATGTTTGACTGCCACATTTAAATATTTCTGCTGGTAGGTTGTCTGCTCCGGGTGACTTGTTTCTGGCTAGAGACTGAATTGCTTTGTTTATTTCTTCCAAAGTCGGTAGTTTAGTATCCTCGTGTTCTATTACTATATCATATCTACCTTCAGCTCTACTTTCTCCATTAAGTAGCGTACTAAAATGTTTCTGTCATCTTTCTAGTACTTCCACTCTCTCGTTTAAAAGAATTCCGTTAAAGGCCTTGACTTGGTTCGCTTGTGGTTTGAAAACTTTTCTTTTTGTGTTAACCTGTTTGTAAAATTTTCTGTATTCGTGTTCTCTTTTAAGGTTTTCCATCTCTTCGAACTCTTTATTGATTTGTTGCCGCTTTTTCTGTTTGTGTTTTTGTTTTTCCTCTCGTCTCTTTACTCGATATTCTTCAACATTGCTCCTAGTCCTTCTGTTGATCATTTTCATATACGCGTCGTTCTTCTCTTTCTTTACTCGTTGGCATTCCTCATCAAACTAGTTGTTTCGCTGTCCTTTGGGTACTTCACCCAGCACTTCCTCTGCGGTCTCTTTGAGCGTGGTTTTCATAAACTCCCAATTTGTGTTAAGTTTAGTGGGATATACCTCACTTCTGGAATATTCTCATATTTTGCGATCTAAGCATATTTGGAAGTTTCTTACGACTTCAGTACACTTTAATTTATCAACATTATATTTGATTATTTTTGGTTTAGTTTTATCGTTCCTGGCGTTTGATATACGTGCTCTGAGACGTCCAGCTATGAGATAGTGATCGGAGTCAATATTTGCACCTCTATAATTGCTGCAGTCTAGTCTTAACCAAAGGTTAATCAAAAAACCCAATGTAACTACATTTAAAGGAAGTAATTCTTTGGAGAGTAATTCTTTGCGTTTTAAGTTCAAAGCTACCATACATTTCCAACGTTAACAAAAAAACTTTTTTGCACATAGTAACAAAAAACACCACTATGTTGTTACTAGCTAAGTTTTTTAACATCCTAACTCGACACTTCTAAAATTTACGGTAAGATAAATGTTTTTTATTAGATAATATATGGTAGCTAATTATAATTTATTCTATTTCAGCCCTGAAGAAGCCAAACTAATTCTCTTTGGGGCGAAAAAAACGTTCGGCGAAACAATTGATACACATTAGAGTTTTTCTTGCAGATTTGCCCAATATTTAAAAGTTTACTATATATATATATATATATATATATATATATATATATATATATATATATATATATATATAAACTTCTGTTGAATAGCATAGTATTATTGATATCAGTGATCTTTCTGCATGGAATCGCTTACATTAATTTATATATTACTTCTATAAGTATCTGAAAAAAATAATATTAAAACAAGATGTCAAAAAGAAGTCAGCTGATAAATAATGGTACGCAGGCTTGACGAAACGACATCCAAACATAAATATACGTCTACCTGAACCAACTTTGATAGCTCGAGCTGTTAAAAAGCAGTGGTTCATAAGTTGCTTAACGTTTCTGAGAAAGTAATTCAGGAAAATAGTTTTACTGCAGATCGTGTCTTTAATGCCGATAAGATATCTCATATTGTTGTTCAGGAGCCACAGAAAATACTCTCTTAAAATAAAAACTTCAGATGGGTGCCATAACGTTCAATAAAAGAGACCAAAATATTACTGGAATGTACGCAAAAAATACCATTGGCATTTACATTTTGACCATACTTATTTTTGCCAGAAAACTCGTCAAAGAGGGTCAAAATTTGGAGCACCTTCAGAATCTTTATTTAAGTGTCAAGATAAAGGGTGGATGGCATATGGTGTTTATAATTGGTAGAACACTTAATTAATTAAAAAAATCCACAAGGAAAACAATTTCTGTAGCTGGCTGTATACCACGTATCACAAAAAAAGAGGTTAGTCTTCGTAAGTGAGTATATTTATTTAAAAAACCCTTATAAGGGCTACATCTAAAAAACAAACGTTTTCGGACTAAACAGCCCATCATCAGGTTTAAAATCGCTAGGTTAAAATGTCTGAGCCACCAAAAATACATGGGTAAAAACCCTTTAAATTACATATAGTTATAAAAGATTATACATCTTGTTGTTAAAAAGCTGTGATGTTCAGTATTAAATTAAATATGACTTCAGGTAACATACATTGTAAAAATTGAGTTCCAGAGCCGGGGAGAAAACCTCTACGCACGGAGAACAGCTGGAAACTTTCCAGTTTCCAGCTGTTCTGTTTCCAGAAACAGTTTAGCGATTTTTTTTTTCGTATTGTCCAAATTCTATAATAAAAATTATAAAACCAAACAAATAGAAGTCAAAATATTATATAAATTTTTTATTTAAAATTACTTGATTTATATAGTTATAACTATTTACTCCATTTCGGGGTGCATTATTACTTAGAACAGAGAATTTAGAAAATGTAAAAAAAACGTCCCATAAATATAATTTCTTCTAAAAGAGCAGTGTGGGTAAGGAATTCTTTTGGGTTTTTTTCTATTCCATAGTATAACTTTTTAAGAGTATTTAGCTTAAGTTTTAAAGTGATTTGAGCAAAATGGATGGAGTTTAACCCTACCCATATTAAGGGGTCTAAATTACATGGACCTTCCCCTGTGTAGATATTTTTTGAATTTAAAATGAATAATTTCGTTTAAATTATAGTAAACTATTACAGTATGATAAAACCGCCACCACAACTCACTTCAAGAAAGTATGATTTATAAAATACATTTTGTAACACCCCCCAATGCCATTACCCTATACGAATTTCAAGAGTACGTCCTTGCACTAAACAGCATCCTAACCAGTACTACCTATTATAAAAAAAAATCGTTATATCGAAAGTAGTTGAACTGGTGGTGCCATAAGATGGGCGACGTCGACTTTTTTCGAGAAGGTCAAGGGGCTTATTATGAAATGTTATCACGAGAATCTGGAGCAAATGGTGTATATAAAAAGAGCCACGAGTTATTCAACGAGTATAGTTGCAAAAACACTTACGCCAATCACTCAAATCTACAAAAATGGCATTCAAGGTACGCACTTTTGTTCAGATTTTTTTTAAATTTTGAAATTTTTTTAATTTAAATTTTTAATTATACCATGTAATTTTATAGGTCATGTTTGTTTAAAATTTTGTTATTTTGGTGTAATTATTTTTTAATTTTTATCAAAATCATATTTTTGTTCAAGCCAAAGATTTTAAATTTAGTTTGGCAAACTTTTATTTGCTAGTTTCAGTAGTTGTACTTTATAAATACAATTTTTATAAGTATGTGCCCTATTCTTTTTGTCAAGATCTGTGCATTTTATATGATCCATATTTTTTTTTTTGTTTAGATACTCCATCTTTCTTATTTTTAGTAACAGGGAATCTTCACCATTCTAGTTTTTGTTATGTTCGTCGCTGTGTAGCTATTTACATTTGTATATTTGCGTCCACTACTTGTCATAGGCCTCCCTCAATTTTGACCATTGTGCTCTATCTTAAACACTTTTCAGAAAAGTATAATTAAGTGTATACTGAAAAAGAAATTTCACTATAGTGGCTGCCTGTCGTTAAAGCAATACTACTAAAGAAGCTGAATTTTCTTTGCCAAATTTTACATGCTCTTTGACTATTTAATGTATGTTGATTTTAAATTTAGCTAGTTCTAATTGTGCCTGATTCAACTACGGAAGATAATGATGTTGTTTGTTCTGATTGGATATTAGTTACTGAAAAATTATTAGATTTAAAGGCTTGAAAATTAATTTTTCTTTCTAATTAACCTATTTAGATTTTAAATCTTTTTTTGTTGTTGTACTATTTTAATTGGTTTATATATCATTATTTTTTTCTTTTATTTTGTCTACTCCACTAGCAATTTGTCTTACTTCTATCTTAACACTTTTCTAAACTTACGAAAAACTATTTATGATTTCTACCTCTATATTTTTACGCCCCTCCTCTGTCTCTTTCTCTACCTCTCTACTCCTCTCCTCTTTCTCTTCCTCTTATTATTTTTTACGATTTTGTTTATATTTTTGCTTATTTTCCCCTTGTTTCTCTTTTTCTTTCTCTTTCATTTCAAAACTAAGCGAAAAAATTAATCTCACGAAATTACATTTAAAAATCTCACGAAATAGTGGTAACAATATTTATACATTTTATTCTTTATATTTTATTACTGATATATATTTTATTTTGCAGTTTATCGCCTTCGCTACTCTTTTAGCCGCTGCTCAAGCTGGCCTCCTTCCAGCAGCCCCACTTGGTTACGCTGCGGCCCCTGTTGCCTATGCTACTCCCTTAGCAAAGACTGTTGTCGCTCCTGTAGCGAAAACAGTGGTAGCTGACGACTACGACCCACATCCACAATACAATTTCGCTTACGACATTCAAGATAGCCTAACCGGAGACAATAAAAACCAGCACGAAGTTCGTGATGGTGACGTTGTGCAAGGTAGCTACTCTTTGGTTGATTCCGACGGCTTCAGACGCACTGTTGACTACACTGCCGATCCACTTAACGGATTCAACGCTGTTGTCCATAGAGAACCTCTTGTCCAAAAAGCCATCGTTGCCAAAGCTGTTGCACCTGTAGCGTATGCCGCCCCAGTTGCTAAATTCGCAGCTCCAGTTGCCTATGCTGCTCCAGTAGCCAAAATTGCTGCTCCCCTTGCCTATGCTGCGCCTGTAGCTAAATTCGCCGCACCTGTTGCTCAATACTACCACTGAATATATTTTTAAAAAACCGACTGTGTATATATAGGTATTTATTTTTAATAAATTATCAATAAAAGCAGTTTTGTTTTTTATTTTAAAATTCAGAATACTGGATATACTTTTAATTAACATCTTTTGTGATCGTGTAATGTAATCATACTTTTGTATGTACATATTGTTTTTAACTTTTTAAGTCATAATGTTCTTTTGTCTTTTCCTATTATAACATTATCTATTCCTTTCGTCACTAGATATAACAAGTTGTTTTTAATGCTTTATTATGTATAAGTTTTACTGATTTTATGTATGTACTAGTTTTGTACATTTGTACAAATTTGTACGTTTGTAGTTATGTACTAGTTTTATTGATTTTTATGATTGGCGTTTTTAAATTTCAGTCAGCACAGTCCCTTCAACCCACTTAAACCTAATATTTATACGTAGAAAGGTTCTTGTACTAAGAATTTTTTCTTTCTTTCTTTCTCCCTTATCCTCTTTAAAGAGAGAGCTCAAAATCAAGTTAAAATCGAACCTTGCCTTCTCTAAACTTGCCTCCATACCTTGCCGGTCCTTCCACCTTTTCCGTGACTTTTCGTTTGGTTTTGTACCCTGCCTTTTACACTCTAGTGCCCCTTTTGGCAATATTTCTGCATCCATACTCACTACATAACCAGCCCATCTAAGTCTCAAAATTTTTAACCCTCCGTTAGTCGCTAGGAAAAACTGAGCATCAAGAGTCGCTACGGTGTCTGAGACCGACAATTAAAAAAGATTGTTTTTAATATAAAATTCATACAAATATTTTATATTGTTTATAGGAATAACTAAAAAATATTTTTGAAAATATTTTATTGAAAAAAAAAAAACAGATAAAAAATGAAAAACACTAGCATAACAATATATTGTGAATATTGTTCTGAAGCTATTTTCTTGTGGCATTTTAAAGTAATTACTGTTTAAATGGGAATAAGCCACAATTAAAGGTTAAAGTAAGTTTATTGATGTTTTCATTTTCACATCGGATATCGTTCTCAAAATACAAACATTAGTTTGTATTACGTAATATATAATTTTCTTATCTTGTTCTAACATTTTACGGTGGAATAGCCCTTTTTCATCTAGTAACGCTATATTTTCCAATAAACGCTAAGGTATTACTTCCACTTTCTTTTTTCTCATCTGTAACATCTTGTTCCGATTCATTTCCACCATCACCACCTCAATTTGATCTATTTCGCTTTCACTTTTTCATCGTCAAAATAATTTTCATCGTCGGTAGGAATCATGTCCATAATTCCAACAAGCGTTGGAATCAAAGTTGTTTGGCTTCAAAGGACATCTATGAATAAGAATTGACAAAAACTTACCGATAAAATGTAATAATAAGATGATAAATATTTACCTGTTCTGCAAGTTCTGCAATAAATAATAGCTACACCGTTAGTCGCTACGGACTCTGGCACCGAAAATAACTATAAAACTCACACAATTGCACCCAGGAATGTAAGAATGTACACTAACACGAGTTTGGTTGATAAGGAGAGGTACAGAAAGTGGCGATAGAAAAATAACAGTTATTTGTAAATCCCGAATGAATAGTTTTGTCGTCGGTGTGTGAGACCGATAGCGACTAACGGAGGGTTTTAAAAAATTCTGAGACTGGTACGTAGATCTCCATACTCTGTTGTCTTTAATAGGTGCAAATAATTTCATTTTAAGAGCTTAAGAACTTTAGCTTAAGACAGTTTGTTTTGTATATTTTCTTCCAAATATTTTTTTTGTTTAATAAAACTCCAACAGGAATCTTATGACTATTGCTATCTGATCATTCACTATGATCAATAAGCAAGTTAGTTCTATATATATATAAATATTACAAGAAACTTATCTAAGGTTATATTCAGCAATATTCCTTAGGCTCTAACACATTATACTACTACTAGCTAATGTGTACACTTTAGCCGCACTTTACTCTGCTTATTCAATTTCACTCACTTATTAGCACTAAATCAAACGGCTTCGTTCTCTTTAGTCTTCTTATCTGGTTGGCGTTATCTAGGAGTTTGATGGCCTCGTCATTCAAGTGGTTGGAGAGCCTTTGTTCATGACTCTCGGCAAACTTACTTATTGTCTGGATAACTGTATCCATCTGGAGGTCTCGATGAAGATCACAATTTCTAAAGTAGGACCATGGAGCGTTAACGATGTTCCTTAATACTTTATTCTGATATCGTTGTATATGTTGGATGCTGCTTTCTTTTGTACAGCCCCATAGCTGTATTCCGTATGTCCATATCGGTTTAAGGACTTGCTTATATAATAGCAATTTGTTGTAAATAGACAGAGTGAATTTTTTTCCCATCAACCAGTACATCTTTCTGAACTTAATTTCTAATTCCTCCTTTTTTTTTCTTAACATGTGCTTTCCAACGTAGCTTGGAATCTAACGTCATACCCAAATTTTTTTGCCGTATTTGCATAAGGTATTTGGTTTTTATTTATATGTACTGGGATATGTTGTTCTCTTTTGTTAGTAAAATTGACATGAACAGATTTTGTTTCATTCAATTTGATACGCCGTCGGCTGGTCCAGATGTTAATTTGTTCAACAGAGTTCTGTAGCATGATAGCTGCATCCTCGTGGTTTTGTCCGACTGCTAGAATGCATGTGTCGTCTGCAAATGTCGCAATTGTGTTAGGTTCTAATGATGGAATATCGCTGGTATAATACTGGCCCCAGGACACTTCCCTGTGGAACTCCAGCTTTAACTTCTCTTAATTCTGAATATGCTTCCTCATACTTAACTTGAAAGTATCTGTCGGATATATATGATTCTAGTAGTTCAGAATATTGTTTTGGTAAGTAGCATCTCATTTTATGATATAGTCCGTCATGCCACACCTTGTCAAAAGGCTGCGCTACATCGAGGAAAATTGCGGAACAAACTTTCCTTTTTCTAGAGCTTTTTCTATGAACTTCCAGATATGTAAAAATTTCTACCGTATCTATCATCTTCTAATTCAACCGTGCGACTGTTTTCCCTAGCTCTTGCTTGTATTTTTTGTCTATTGGATATGTATTTGTGGGCTGGATATTTTTTGTACCTGTTTTTAATTGTAAATATATTTTTGGTGCCTCATCCGTTCTGCGATACATAACGGTGATGTCATCGGCATAGGTAACAATCTGTATGGATTTATTTGTTAGAAGATTAAATTTGTCTATATTCAACTATCAAAGTTTTTTATGAATTATTCATTTACATTAGTGTTTTGATATCATGTTCCGGTTTTATGTCGTGTACTTTTTCTAGCTGTTCGTAGAACTTTTCTTTAATTTCTATTTTCATATATCTGTTGGGCAACTCTTTGTTTTCGCTCCAAACTCTTTGTTTTCACTATTTGTTCACTATATGTTATTCTATAAGTATTTATCTCTTATTAAACAGGACAAAGTGGAATGAAAAAAAAGACCGGGAAGACGATTCTCATCATAGTTAAAAAAAATTAAAGCAGTTGAGTGAAAAAACAACAATAGAACTCTTCGGAATTGCTGCAGACAGAGTAAAATGAGACGTTATGATCGCCAATGCCCTTAAATAATAAGGCATATAAAGGATAAGAAAAGTCTTTGTGTCTTTTATTCGATATCGTAGCCATTAAGTTTCTGTATTGCTGCCAGTTGTATTTTGTATATTAGCTGTTTTTGAGCTCGTTGGGTAGCTACACCTACTATGTTTCTTTACTTAAGGTCGTAGTCGACAAAATCGTTCTATCTAAGGCTTATTTAAATGTTTGGTGCTTTTACAATAACGGATATTACCCAGCTCTGAACCTGGAGGACCATAATTTTTTTCTCAGTGTCAATTCGCTTAGCCGATATGTTTTAAGTTTTTAGGCACCTACAACTTACTTTTCACATCCTTAGTTTGCTACATAATGCACGCCCACAGTACGCCATACACATAGCGGAGACATGGTAAAAGCCTTAGTCGACGTACAAATAGGATTTTTTGCAGAAGCTGAGTGCTGTTTCTAGAATTCTAGATTCCCCGAATTTATTATCCGAGACAGTGGATATTACTTCAAGCTTTATTACACATAATGAGCATCGGCAACCCATACTGCCTCGAAGATCCTTTACCAACCTCAAACCACAACAAAAGATCCTTTAGCTTTTTTTTATAAACATACTTTTTTAATCTCTAGATTTGTCGTATACTATTGGAAAAAGACAAAAGTCCTTTAAATATTTTAAAAATTTAACGACACATTTATATCCGTTACAAAACAAGCTAGTAAAAGAAATAGAAGAACCATGCAAAATATGGGGAATAGTAGGAAGATTTAAAGATCGACAACCAAACAAAAATTAGATATCTGACACGATTGGATTCCAATGGGTAATAGAACAAGTTAAATTATAAACCTTAGTTTATGTGATACAAGGAAATGGGAAAATTGTGCAAACAATTATATATCATATTGTAGCATTTTCAATTTCATTGATTCTTTGAAGTATATTGAAGTCCCCTCATATACGAAATATTAAAATCACCTTATATATTTTTGATATATCTAAAAATATTTCGTACGTATTTAAACCCAAATATCTTTTCATTTCTTTCTTAGGTCGGCCTAGTTGAAATAAACCATTTTAGAGTTGTTTATTTTACTTCGGCAATTTCTTTTCAAGTTAATGCGTCGCAAAAGGATATGTACGTCGTTTCATGGTGTCTTGTTATGTCAGCGTTTGTATGTATGCGTTCAATCTTAATAGATAATTTCGTCACTCTCGTTGTAGCAGCTTTGAATAGCGGTTCAACGTTATGTCCAAATTCACGTCGAATTTGTAAAGTGTTCTGTTTTCATCGTTTATTATGAAGAATATAATGTAGCAGTTTGTTATTGGTTTTGTGGCAGTAAATGCTTCAATTATTAATGTTTTGAGTGAGGATTGGAGAACATCCTCGTTTTGTTTTTCTTTTGTTCCTGCTTTTATCCAAGGCTTT